ATGGATTACTCCCTTTACCACGGGATTTAATAAATTATAACTTAGTAGAAGTCCCTTTTAAGTAGAATACAACCTCAAACGATTAAGGAAAAATTTAGTTGAGAAACTAATTGAGTCAAAAATGTAGAAGTTTCTGAAGTTTGAAGTATTGAAATATATATATATATATATATATTTATTTATATTTATATATACGGCGAGATGTTGACAATACTATGGGTTCCAACACAGAGAATCACAACAGTAAGGGAATCTAACCCGTTAAAACACTTGAATTGATCACAACAATACACACAACAAACAGAAAGTGCACGGTATCACCCTTCGCGCTTTTACACTCACAGAATATCGACAGGGGATCTCCCGGGATCCCGTCCCGTAGTCCCAAACGTAAATACTTGGGGGATCTCTCGGTATCCTCAGTATATGAGCTGGGGGATCTCTTGGTATCTCGAGGATCTCTTGGTATCCTCAATATACATGCTAGGGATCTCTTGGTATCCCGAGGATCTCTTGGTATCCTCAATATAGGTGCTGGGGATCTCTTGGTATCCCGAGGATCTCTTGGTATCCTCAATATACATGCTAGGGATCTCTTGTATCCTCAATATAGGTGTTGGGGATTTCTTGGTATCCCGAGGATCTCTTGGTATCCTCAATATAGGTGCTGGGGATCTCTTGGTATCCTCAATATAGGTGCTGGGGATCTCTTGGTATCCCGAGGATCTCTTGGTATCCTCAATATAGGTGCTGGGGATCTCTTGGTATCCCGAGTATCTCTTTGTATCCTCAATATAGGTGCTGGGAATCTCTTGGTATCCCGAGCCAATAATATGAACAATAACATCCCGGCAAGGGAAAATCAACAATATAAACAATACATCGCGGCAAGGGAAGCAACAATGTAGACAACACATCCCGGCAAGGTAAGTAACAATATAGACAATACATCCCGGCAAGGGACTCAACAACAGTCCAACAATCCAACAATCCAAATCAGAGGGAAGTTCCACCACTAAGAGTATGACTACATAGCAACAAGAGAATCACAGAGAAACTAAGAAAGCACAATAACCTTATTAAAACAACAAAGAACAACTAATTCAATTAAGGCAATTAAGGCCAAGTAACAGGTAAGAGTTAGAGAAAGGCTAACAACATCGTATGGAGCATATAGGGGTAAATTATGCAATTAGATAACTCAATCATAGCAGAATACTTCCCATATGATGAACATAAGAACCTAAGAACCCTAAAGGCAAATTTTTCCCACAAATAAGTCCGAGCACACACTCGTCACCTCGCGTGCATGGACTACAATTAGCATGGAAGACTCAAATCCTAAGGGGAAGTCCCCCACATATGGTTAGGCAAGATACTTACCTTGAACAAGCTCAAATCAACCCGAAATCACGCTTTTGCCACGAGTATCTGACTCCAAATGGCCCAAATCTATTCAATTCAATTGCATATTGTAAATAACACCTCAAGTAACTGATTCCACAATTAAATTCTAAGCTAATACGCGAAATTAGGTAAAATGACCAAAATGCCCCTCATGCCCACGTCTTAGAATCGGGTAAAATTTATATTTTCGGAATCCTCACACACTCACGAGTTCATGCATACCTAAATTACCAAAATCGGACCTCAAATGGTCCCTCAAATCATCGCTCAAAGGTCTCCAATACCGAGCCCTAGTTTTCCCATATTTTCACCCTTAATTTCTAAAATTTCTAGCTCTAATCCGTGAAATAATAGCATAAGAACAAGTTTTTGGTCCAAATTCCTTACCTCAATGAAGTTCCCTTGAAATCCCTCTTTCAAATCGTCCCAAAAGCTCCCAAGCCGAGATAAAAATGGTGAAATAAACCTCAAAGTCGTGGAACCCCTTTTAAAATATAATGCCCAGCAGTTTTCGCATCTGCGGTCCTGGGACCGCATCTGCCGAACAGATGTCGCATCTGCGGCCCTTCACCCGCAGGTGTGGTACCGCTTCTGCGGAAAATATACCGCATCTGCGGTTCCTGAAGAGATGGCCGAAATTCCGCTTCTGCAGCCGCTTAGCCGCTTCTGCGGCTCCGCACCTGTAGAACCCAAACCTCAGGTGCGGTTATGATAGCACCAGCAGCTGAAGCTGCAACTTAAACTCCAAAATTTCCTCCGTCAACCATCCGATTTCACCCCGAGACCCCCGGGACCTCAACCAAAGGCACCAACAAGTCACAAACCACTACCCAAATTTGTACCAATCCTTAAAACACCTAAAACAACATCGAAACCTCGAATTAACCATGGATTTAAGCCTAAGAACTCCAAAATCCTCAAAAATACGCTTTCGATCAAAAAGTCTATCAAACCTCGTCCGAATGGCCTGAAATTTTTCACACATGTCACATTCAACACTACGCAGCTACTCCAACTTCCAAAATTCCATTCTGTCCCTCGGATCAAAATCTCACTATCGAACCGGAAACTTCAAAAAATTCAACTTTCGGCATTTCAAGCCTAAATAAGCTACGGATCTCCAAAACACAATCCGAACGCGCGCCTAAGTCCAAAATCACCATACAAAGCTGTTGGAATCATCAAAAATTTATTCCGGGGCCGTTTACTCAAAAGTCCAATTCCGGTCAAATTCTCACCGCTTAAACTCCCAAAACTAGATTCCTTTTTTCAATTTTACTCTGAATCATCCGTTAACTGAATTCAACCATGCACGCAAGTTGATACTCGTATTATGGAGCTGTTCCAGACCTTACGCCGCTGAATGGAGCTTAAATTCTCAAAACGATCGGCCGGGTCGTTACAAAATCTCACTACTTGAATATGTTAATTATCTAGAATATCATGTTTGTGTCTAATACTAGCTAGGAAATTGACATATTTTCCTATAGTTCTATTCTCATTTGGATAATGTGCTATAAGATGTTGATTATCTACATATCATATTGTTAAGAGCAAAATAGCTATTGTGCTGCCTATTTTAATAATAAATTTCGCCTGCAAGCTATGAATAGCACTTGTTTATTTTATGAGTATTGACCTCTCTACTAGAACCCGCTTAGTGTGTTGTATTCGAGTTTCTAGAATTGTTTTAAATGTTGCTTAACATATGTAAATTAGACACTATGCTTATAGGATTAGCTAGACAAACTTTTCATAAAATAAGAAGTTTTAATCTGTTATGTGAGATGTCTGTGAAATGTGTTTGTTATACGATCTAGATATTATGCCCTCAAGTTGCCTTCGTAAGGAAGTCGTGCTTCTTTCAAAGTCAGTAAGATCTGGATTGCTACTTATTCCTTCCTTTGTTTGGTTGAAGTTGTTGACAATATGAAGCACTATAGATTTTGCCTTTAGGAACTAATTATAAAAGTTAATAATTTGTTGTGCTAAAAAGCTATCTGGTTATGTATAAATATCATAATACTAGCTAAATGTTTTGGGAGAAAAATGAAGTTGAACAAATTAAAGTACTGATGTTGGTAGCTGTTAAATTATGTGGATCACTATAAGATCTATAATTTACCACCTTTTGGATCTGTATACATACCAACATTCTTCTTGGCTAGCTAGAAAATTTACCAGACCCTCTAGATCTCCCTGCCCTTATTTTCTCTCTGCTTGCCTCTTATGCTGTCAAGGGAAACATCTTTGTGGTTCGATAGCATATCGTATAATCCAAGAGGTCTATTAAAGAGTAGTTAGTTTCCTACATTATCAATGCATCTCCATAAGCTGAATTCTTACTCTGTCTAGTTTGCTAGTGTCTGAGTAGTAGTCTTGAGGGCCAGTGATACGTAGAGATTATACTTTGCTTAAACAGTCTTGTTTAGTAATCCTTCTGCAAAAGGTTATCTACACTCTATTGCAATATCTCTCCATAGACATCAGAACAAACACTAGCAACCTTTTAGCCATTTATGATAATCAGTTTGCAAAATGAATAGCTTTAAATACTTGACCGGCACAATAAGACATTTAAAGCTCACCGTTTATATTTTGTAACTACATCTCCTTTGATGTATATAGCACCTGCCATTCGACTTTTCCTTCTTTCCCGAGCCTCTGATTCATCGGTCTCTTGATTTCCACCAGGACTACATATAAAATCACCCTCTGAAACTTTCTACTGGATCTCACTAGAAATGTTTGATCTTTTAACCTGCCGCTGAACTTCAGAACAAGTGCTAAGTTCATCGATTGTCGAGAACGCTACATCAGAAGGACAAGAAAACTCAGCTGGATTTCCGACCCACTTCACATGTCCTTTATCCATCACAATTACCAAGTCTCCAACACATAGAATAGATTAGTATAAGGAAGATAGGCGCATTACTATAGATATCCTAAATGAATGGTCCTCTGTATTGCCAATGTCTAGTCAATTTATTATAATAAAGATGTCGATCTCAACTTGTTTGGGACTGAGCCGTAGTTATTGATGGCTGTGCTTGAAATTCTTAACTTGAGATTAATGCATCTTTTCTAATTATAATTGCATTTTCAGTTCTTTCTTTAACAGCAGATTACGAAACAGAAATGCACCTTTACTTATTATTTTGCCATTTCCAGTTCTTTTTTACCTACAGTTCTCAAGAAATGCCAACAAACAATAGTAAATTGTTTCACCAATCATAATTTGGTGCATGAATCAACATCACTAACCTTGTGACATACATACTGATAGTTGATCAACATGTCATTGAGAGAAAAGACAAATAGCACTGCATATATAGATTTCTAGAAATGCACAAGGATCAACTTAAGTAAATTACAACCATATCTTAGACGAGTACATCCTTCTCCCAGCGCCAAATGGAAAAAGCTTAATTGTTTGCACATGCATTTTGTTCGTCTATTAATCCATCTAGTTGTTTTTCCTTATATATGTTAGTTGAGGGAGTTGGATGACAAAGAATCTCACAGTGATAAAATTTGCAAGATGTTTTTCACATTATATTTTATCTTTTGACACAATTATTTTATAATTTCAGGTCATACAGTCTGATGTTCAATAATTTAGCGGGTGGAAGATTTTAAAATGATGAAAAGTTGTGAAAATCATTTGAAGACCAACATTCGTCTAGATTAGTTATATAATGACATTAGCTATTTAGTCCAAACAATATAAGTTTATGTTTTAAGTTACTGTGACATTAATAATTTTGATTAGTACTTTCTATTATTTGTTAAGATTTAATGACCTATGTTATGGGTTTTTAATTAATATATTTTATTATTTTAAGTATTTCTATTACCGCTTGTGGCTTTTAGCGTTGATTTAGTTGGGTAGACCAGCTATAAAAGTTGACGATAAAAGAGAAAATTAAGATGTTTCACAAGGTATAATGCAACTGCTATAATTGATGTAAAACAATTGCCGTTATAGATATTGACTTTTAGCGGCAATTTAGTTAAACATATTAGCCATTAAAATGGACGCTAAAAGGGAAAACTAAGATGTTTTCAGAAGGGATACTATGGCCATTGTAATTGCCACAAAATAATTGCCATTAAAGACGCAAATATTTAAAGGTAATTATTTTGAATTTAGCGGCTATAATTGAATTTAGTAGCAATTATAATTGCCGCAAACAATTGCCGTTAAAGGTAATAATTTTTAGCGGCAATTAACTATGCCCTTTACCACCTTTTGTAAGAAAAGCCGCTAAAGACTTTGCCGACCCCGACTTTAGCGGTAAAACACTAATTGCTGGTAAATGATATAGCGGCTATTATTATTGCCGCTAAAGCTGTTTTGTATTGCCGCAAAAGCCACTTTTTGTTGTAGTGTATAGATTCTATTGTTGTTTTAGTTAGCTGAAAAGCTCTTATTACATGTGATTTGCAGCTAGGAATGGCAAGTACTCTCTGTGGACATGCTTATGGATCAAAGCAATACAAGAAAATTGGAACACAAACATACAATGCTATATTCTGTCTCTTCATTGTTTGCATCACCTTTTCAATGTTATGGCTATACATAGGATGATTGCTCATGCTCATCGGAGAAGATTATAAGATTTCACATGAATTTGGGAAGTTCATAATGTGTTTAATTCTTACTCTTTATGGTAGTGCAGCTCTTCAGCCACTTATTCGGTATTATCTAATAGAAAGTATGGTCATTTCCCTGCTCATTAGCTCATGTTTAACAAAAGCTATCCGTATACCACTATGTTGAGTGCTAGTTTTTCACTCTGACTTAAAGAATATTGGGGTTGCATTGGCTATGGCCATTCAAGTTTGAATAAGAAATACAGTAGATGGAAAAGAAAATGCATTTAGTCAAGGTGGAAAACATATCATTGCAATTATGACATTCAATAATGACACAATTATCTGATACTGCGGACACACATGAAACACATCTTTTACCAAAAAAACCAAGTACACGAATAGCTAAAAAGAAGTCATGAAAACAATAAAACCAAAACATGAGCACAAGTGTAATATTTCTTTTATGGTTCGTGTTTGTGCATCTAATAAGGTGGAAATGTTTCAGGCAGAATTCAATTTCAATTAAAATTCTTTTGTTTTAGCTTGAAGGTAATATTGAGGAGAAAAAAACATTATAGACAAGAACATATCAACTATGATTTATATCCTTAGAAAGAACTACTTTAGGAGATGCGAACAAATACTTGAAAAGATAAGTTGAATGGTATTCTCCCATATATCCTTAAGTTAGTTGAATAGTACTTGTGTTCTTTGTTACTTTCTAAATAGATACAGGGAAATATAGCATAAATTCAGCCACATATACAACAAAATAACGGGGGAAGCTGATGTCAACTCCCAATGGTATTCTCTTACAGCCACATATCCTAAAGTTGGTTCTTTTTTACTTCACTGTGAACCAATTTCAAGGAAATGACACCAAGAATGAGAAGTTCATGCTAGCAAAAATGGTAACATAGAAAGAGTTAAAGCACACGCCAAAATTTACCAAAACATCTTTTTTGCCAACCATTAGATGCATTAGATTCTACTCAATGTAAACACTTAGGAGTCTGAATTTTCTCCCATTTCTAAAATTGTCCAACAAGATTTTACATATCCAGAATTTCAGAATCGCACCAGAATATAAACGTCCGAAACAAAGCCAAATTTATCATAACATGACACTTCTTCACAACAATAACATAAAATAAGCTAGCATTCTCAAAGCCGCATAGAATATAAACAAAGATTTCTCCCAGGTATTTTATCAAACATGTCATGTGCCTCGTAAAATTACTCTCAATTTGGCATAAACACGTACCAATCCAACAACTTATTGTCAAAAAGATAATTAAAGAAGGAGAAGATGAAGAAAAGAATTGTCAAGAAGGATGGAAGAAGATTCAAGAAGGTAAGAAGAAGAAATATCAAGAAGGAAGTGTCACCACCCTAAAATCGACCCGGTCGTGATGGCGCCTATCGTGAAACTAGGCCAGCCGGCGCAACTTCCGAATTAACCATTTATAAGTAAAATTTATTTTTAAGCCTTTAATTAATCAAATATCTCATAATGTAAGTCTAAATGAACAGTGCAGAATAAATACACAAGCCCGACATCGGGGTGTCACGAGTCACGAGCATCTACTAAGGTCTGAATACAATGAAGAGTCTGAAAATCTACTAAAACAATTCTAATGAAGACAAGAGGGAGAAAAGCAGGCTGCGAACGTCGGGCAACTACCTTGCTAACTCCGATGACTCTGCCACTGAGTAATCAACGCCCGCTACCGGGTTCAGAAGTACCTGAATCTGCGCACGAGGTGCAGGGAGTAATGTGAGTATGCCAACTCAGTAAGTAATAAAAGTAAATGAAAGCTGAGCAGTAAGAAAACATGTAAACCACGTCAAAACGCTACAACAAATGCAGAACATTTCCAACATAGTACAGAAATCGTTTACTTCGTAAATCATGCTCAGTTTCGGTATAACCTTTTAAAACAACTTTCAATAGTTTCTAACGAGTGATAAAACAGTGAGTAAACATGATAGAAACGTAAACAGCCCCTCGGGCAAAACGTGTACCATAAACCGCCCCTCGGGCATAATATCAACAGAACCAGCCCCTCGGGCTACCTCACAATCACTCGTAATCAGCCCCTCGGGCATAACATGAATCAAGAACAACCCCTCGGGCAACAATATGAAACAACAACAGCCCCTCGGGCAATATCACATCTCACACTGGGTACCCGCACTCACTGGGGGTGTACAGACTCCGGGAGGGGCCACTTACGTCCCAAGCGCAATAACAAGCCATCTCGTGGCATAATCAAACAGGCTCTCGGCCTCATATCAAGCTACCTTGTGGCGTAACACTCAGGCCTTCGGCCTCATAATCACGAATCAGCACAATACCGCTATGGTGCGCAGCCTGATCCCATAATAACTTCACAACACAGGCCCTTGGCCTCACTCAGTCAGAAATCACTCAAAAGCCACTCGGGCACAATAAAATATGGCTCAGCCCAAAATATCATTTAAGATGTCAAAACAAAGTAAATATAGCTGAGTTGTGAAAATAGTAGAATACAGCATGACTGAGTACAAATATGAAGCTAAATCAGTTAGGAATAGTAGTAAAAATCCCCTAAGGGTCCAAAACAGTTGGCACGAGGCCCAAATATGGCATTCAGCCCAAAACATGATGATAGCAAACAATTTTCAATCAAATACGCGGTTAAACAGTCATACGGGACGGACTAAGTCACAATCCCCAACGGTGCACGACCCCACGCTCGTCATCTAGCGTGTGCGTCACCTCAAAGTAGCACAACGATGTGAAATCCGGTGTTTCATACCCTCGGGACAAACATTTACAATCATTACTTACCTCTATCCGGTCCGAACTCTAGCCCACGATGCCTTGCCTCCGGATGCTCCAAATCTATCCAAAAACAGATTTATACCATCAAAATATGCTAAGGGGACAAAGCCCACTCGAAAATAACCAATTTAAATAAAAAATCCCGAAATTGGCCAAACCCGACCCCCGGGCCGACCCTCGGGCCCACGTCTCGGAATTCGACAAATTTTAAATCAATAGAACCCTTATTCTGCCACAAGTTCATGCATACCAAAAGTACCAAAATCGGACCTCAAATGGCCCCTCAAATCACCGCTCAAAGCTCTCTAATTAACCAAGCCCTAACCTGCAAATTTACCACTGATTTTCCCTTAAATTTCATGCTAACAATGATAAAAATCACCATAATAACGAGCTTAGAAACCAATGACCTTACCTCAATGAATCCCTCTGAAAATCTAACTTGAAATTTTTCCCGACCCAAGTTCGCCCTCCGTGAACTGTCGTGACGGCACCTAGTCTCTACGACTAGGTAAGCCAAACAATTTCGGAAAAAGGAACAAAATGCGGAAAACTACTAAAACCTGAAGATAAACAAATGTAGAAGTGTTTAAGATGCCGCTCGGCATATACCAATACAAGATCTCAAAAACTGAACAATTCCCAAAACCCGGAATCCCATGAATCACTAGCTAAGAGAATACATAAAAAGCTCTAACTCTAGAAATGTCTATCAACAAGGAAAATACAGAAGGGCTAAGCTAGTACAGAGAATAGAAAGGGACTCCTTGATCTACGGGCGCGACAGATATACCTCGAAGTCTCTAAAAAAGCGACTCGCCTCAAGGGTGATAAGACTGAGTGAGAGTACCTGGATCTGCACATGAAAAACATGCGCAGAAAGAGCATGAGTACACCATAGCGGTACTCAGTAAGTGCCAAGCCTAACCTCGGTTGGGTAGTGACGAGAAAAGTTAGGGCCCTACTGAGGTAAAATGAAATACAAGGTATAACAGTATAGAATAAGAGAGTATAGTTAAGTGCAACAGTAAGAAGTAACACAAGATAGAAAGAACAACAACAGCTATAACAGAGACAAAATAATCACGAAAAGGAATACAGCTCACACAGAGATAACAACCGTGGATCTCGCAGGATACCATCCTGTAGTCCCCAAATATAATATCCAATGGATCTCCCGGGTGTAGTCCCATAGTCCAACTCATAATGCGCGGGGATCTACCGGAATCCTGATCAGTAGTCCCAAATATAAATATCCAGTACTGGGGGAATCTACCGGGTGCAGTCCCGTAGTTCAAATATAAAAGTGTAGGGGGATCTCCCGGAATACAATTCCATAGTCCCAAAGTAAACATACAGGGGGATCTCCCGAGATACCGTCCCGTAGTCCCAAAGTAAACACACAGCAGCAACACGAAGAA